ATATGAAACTTTCATTTTATTTCATCTGATAATTATCTGCTAATTGGGATAAAATAAAACATTGCCTTTTTTTGGATAATTAACACAGCCAGGGCTTTTTCATTTAAAGAATAAATGTTAAAATTAAACAAATGAAACGATAGCTGTAAAACTCAGTTCTCACAAACTGATATTGAGTGGACACGAACAGGAAAATGAAATCAGTTTCATAGATAATAATGAACTCTTGTGGACAGTGAAGCCACTCTATAGATGAGTTTTAATTTCCTTCTCATTATAAAAACAGTGCTTCTTTCTAATATGCCAGAGTATTTGGCAGAGTGTGTATGTATATGCTTAAAATGGTATGCCTTCAAGTCATGTGCACATGTGCACAAATAGTACTGTGATTTGACTAATAAATCATAATATTCATTTAATTTTATAATGGAATTTAAAGCTAGGAGTAACTTTAGAGGTCATTTAGATCAATCCCTTCATTTTATACATAACCTGTGTTACTGTGCTGCTTTTACTGTTCAAGTTAAATATAAACATGTTTAAATCTGTGCAAAACAGACTGTAAGGAATATAACCACTCAGTCATTACAATCACCTATTCATCAGCGAGGCATATTCACTCACAAAGAATGAATTATCTATTTATCAACAAGTGATAATCGTATTGACACAAATTATAAATAAAAAGCAATACATATATTTATAAATAGCAGCCCCTAAATAATAACCAGGAGTTATAAATGCTCATAATATATCTGAACATTTCAGGATCTACCTCACACAAGAACAACGTATTCATTGCTGGGGGAAAGGGTTTAATTTATTGAATGATGCAGTTATAATTTGGAGTTGTAGCTTTTCAAGCTACATGTTTCTAATTACGTTAGAAACATAAGAGTCTGGATTATGTGTTTTGATGACATTTGCAAAACTATGTGTTTACTGAGTGTTCTAGAATGATTTATTTTTTTCAACTCACATTCATTTTCCAGCATGCATTTTTTCTGGCATTAAAAAAAAAATTGGCATGACAAAGGATCAGGTTTTGCAGGTATACAATGATAGAAAGCTCATTTCGTCATTACCATAATGAATTTTATAATCTTTAGCATTATCTTCTTATATCTAATTCACACTGAAGCTGTTGATTATAGAAGTAATAGGTATACAATGAAAAATGCTTGTAAATATTGAAAAGCAGGAATAAGAAAACAACCACAAATTTACCACCCAGAAATACAGTACGAAACAACATTTTGGTGCTTTTTCTTCCCATGCTAGATACCCCTCCCCTGCTTTCCCCAACATGTATATGCACACAAACATATATACACCTGCATAGTTTTATTACGCATCCTGGCTCCACCACTTACATGCTCTGTGAGCTTTGGCAAGTGACTTCATGTCTCTGTGCCCAGTTTCTTCATCTGTAAAATATGGATAGTATCAATAACCATGTTACAGAATTGTAAAGATTAAATAGGATAATAAATAGAAAGCCTTGTAAGAGTGTCTGGAATAATATATATCACCTGTTATTATCGCTGTGATCATATGTTTCAAAAAGCTTTACAAATTATCCAAACTTTCTAATTTTTATTTGAAAGTCACACTACCCATTGCTAGTATCTTGTATTATTTTCTGTAAGCCAGGACAATAACTTTTCTCACCCCTCTATGATAATGGTGGTAAGTGGAACATCTGAAAAATATGTTCCATGCAAAATGGATCTTCACACAGACTTATTTTGTCATTTTAGTTTGATTTTTGAGAAATGAATTCAGCATATCTGCCAAATCTTTTTATAAGATGCTACATTCCTGTTTTTATTTTAGTTTATCTTAATTATAAAGAGATTTTTTTCTTCTTCACCCCACCCCTGGACAATTAGGGCTTCTATCCCCTATTTCTCTCTGTCCCAAAGTATAATGTTGCTGCACAATAAATCTTTAAAATAAAAAAAGTGGGATGCAATCTGTCACAATTTTCTTAAGTCACTCTCCTTTTGGTCTATCTAGAATAATGAAAAAAAAACAAAACAAAAATCTTTTTCATTCTGAAAATGTACCATCTAATAACAGACTTTTTTGTTGTTGCTAAATTTGAAATAACAGACTTTTTTTTTCCCCAGGGTGGGCGGGAAGGAGAAGGCTGGTTTGGGGAGGGGGAGGAAGATGGAGTAACGCAGATGAAGAAGAATCAGTCTGCGAACATATGTTAATATTTAGGTTTTTTTTTAAATGAAAAGTTAACTAGTCGATGCTTTTTTGCAAACTGTCTTTGATATCGTGTTTTGTTTATTCCATCCCAGAAGAAGTTAGCGGTATACAGCAAGATGCAGGACTCTCTGGAAGTCACCCTTCCCAGCAAACAAGAGGAGGAGGAGGAGGAGGAGGAGGAGGATGAGGAGGAGGAGGAGAAAGACCAGCCTGCCGAGATGGAGTACCTTAACTCTCGCTGTGTCCTTTTCACTTATTTCCAGGGAGACATTGGGTCAGTAGTGGATGAACACTTCTCAAGAGCTTTGGGCCAAGCCAGCACCCTCCATCCAGAATCTGCCATTTCAAAAAGCAAGATGGGGCTAACCCCCCTATGGCGAGGTAAGAATTCAAAAGCAGATGCTCTCCAGGGCCCTGTATCTGTTTCGCAACTGCCTGTACCAGGTTCCAGCTGGAGGCTTGCCCCCGTAGGACGGATATCCACTTGCTTTTTAATTTTTCAGGACAGCAAGGAATTTCTTTCAGACAAACAGCTGGATCGGTTTTGTCACATGTGGAATGCAGGGTTGGAAAGGATGCGGTCACACCCCTTAAATTCCTCATGGAAAGTAGTGATGCAACCAGCCGGCGTTTATAGTGGCAGGACTGAGCTGTGAGACACCATCCCTTAAGCCCCAGTGGCCCAATTTGGATCTCTAAATAATAGGCGTGCCTGGGTCAGCTTGTAAAAATTAGCTCTTGCTCATTCCACTAGGTGCTACGTGGCGACATAGCAGAGCTCTGAGCCTGACCCAGGAAGACAAACTTTGAAAGCCTCCTGTGTTCTCTTGATAGCTCTCTCTGGCTTGCTTTGGTGTGGTATTAACTCTTTGTAGTGTACAATCCCGACATTATTGGCTGACTGTATACCTCCGTGGTTTAGACTACTGTTTTTACGTCGGTAAAGCACAATGGTACATTGGGTATCCTCTTCTTTATTTCTCTCTTTAGAGGTCACAGAGGTGTGTTTGAATCTGAGTACTGCCTCCCTGAACTTTGTTGGGCGACATCTTAATAGGGATAACGATAAAGTCAGAGAAAAAAATAGTGCATCATTCCAATGATCGTTTTAAGAAATGTGTTATGAATGTTTGTTTGTTTTTCCTAAACTCACGAGGTTATATGAAGTATCTAATAAAGTGGTTCTCAAAGTGTGATTTCCGGGTCTGGGAACATTGAAACCACGTGGGAACTTATTAGAAATACAGATTCTTGGGCCACACCCCAGAACGACTGAATCAGAAACTCAGCGACAGAGTAATCTGTGTTTTAACTAGTCCTCCCAGTGTGATTCAGAGGCGGGTTCAAGTTTGATAATCATCGCTGTAGTACTGTTAAAAACAGGTTGTAGGCCCCGTAACGCAGACCTACTGAATCAGAGTTTCTAAAGCAGCGGTTCTCAACCTGTGGGTCGTGACCCCTTTGGGGGTCGAACGACCCTTTCACAGGGGTCGCCTAAGACCATCGGAAAACAAAAAGATATTTACA